AGTGGAGGATGGAGTGGAGGAGGGAGTGGAGGAGGGAGTAGAGAATGGAGTGGACGAGAGTGGAGGAGAGAGTGGAGGATAGAGTGGAGAAGAGAGTGGTGAATGGAGTAGAGAGTGGAGGATGGAATGGAACCTGGAGTGGTTTTGAACTTAAAGAAAGAGGTGTTTGCTCCTAAGCAACCCGAAGGGGCCCAGCCAAATGCTGATTTCCCTGGCAGGACCCAAGCCCTGGGCATCCATCAGCACCACCTGATGGAAGGGTAAAGGGCCTGTGGAGCATTGGAGGTGGTTTCACAGTTAAAAATTTAAGGACCGGAGTTACACTGGGCTTGAAGGTGGGTTTTGAATGAAGGTGGGAGCAATGAGGCACATAAAACTCTAGCAGCAATCCCAAGTCTGAGTGACCAGGGTCAGTGTTTTGGTTATAAACCTTTGGATTCCTAGCAACACCCAACCTGAAGTATCTTTTTTATTTTAAAGGCAGGGATTTATTGGCTCAGATAAGCTGAGCGAGGCCGGGTGTTGCTGGAAACAACCAGATTCCACCGGGCGATCGGCCCCTCTGCCTCTTCCTGAATAGCGGCTCTTTCTCTCCTCCTGTACCATGGCTTCCTCCAGAGATGGAGGCCCAGCCACCGGCAGCTCTCATCTCAGCTTTGTCTTTGAAACGGAAAGTGGGGGGCCCCATCTGCTCCCGACCAGGGCAGTCAGGCAGTTCCCATGTGGACCACATGGCAAGAGTGCGGGGGGGAAGCCTCCACCTGGAGGGAGGCCACGCCCAACCCTCACCCTGACCCGGCAGCACCATAGCGACACCAGACAACCCCATGGATGGGCTCAGCAGAGCACCAGGACGCCCTGAAGCCCGAGTTCCAGGTGTTGTGCGATGCCACTCTCCACCCATCCTCTGGAAGCGGCATCGTTGATCGTGGCCCCCCTTGTTGGCTCTAGTCGGCCTGACTCAGGAATTAATTGTCCTTGAGATCCTTGTATTGACAGTGGCCACTCCCTCCATTCTTCCTCTCAGCCATGAGAACAACGAACCTCCAGCTGCCTGGGCCTTGGCCTCACCCCAGAGTGGCCTCGCCCTGCCGGACTCTGCCTCCTTTCCTAGGATGGGGCGTTGGTCCTGGGGTCTCCTGGTACCCCAGCAGCCTTGCCCACTCATGTGCACTCATGTGGCACAGCAATAGCAGTGAGTCAGAGAGCCAGGTCTCCTCCCTGTCACCATTTCCAGGGTCCCCGGGGGAGGGGGGTTTCACAAAATCTGAACCTTCTCTCCTCTTTGGCTTGGTTTTCGCATTTTTCCACCTGATCACTATTTCATGGCCTTTTCGGAGTCTTGGCTGCCGCTGGGGTCTCCCAGGGATGCTGATTTCCCTCTCCCCCAGCCTCCCTCCCCCACTCCCCGTCTCTGCTGCAGCCTCCCTGGGCCTTGTCCAGGGTGCTCAGTGCACAGCAGCCACCTCCTTGTTGGTTTGCCACACAGCCCCAGGGCAGTGATACCAACAGGGCCCAGGTGGGATGCCCGAGGCCAGGCTGAGCCATTGGCCTATCCTCAGATCCTGGGGCCAAGGGCCTCCCCGGATGCTGTGCACACATTCTTTTTTCTCTCTGTCGCCTAGGCTGGGGTGCAGTGGCACAATCTCGGCTCATTGCAACTTCCACCTTCTGGGTTCAAGCAATTCTCCTGCCTCAAGCCTCCTGAGGAGCTGGGATTACAG